GATGCACCACATGAAAATTATCAAAAATGGCTAGCAGGGATTGGCAGGGGTTGGCGGGGGTGCTACTGCCCCGGCAGGCAGTGGGCGCATTATCACGTGACTTTTGGGGCACCTTTTGTGCACCATTTGGCATGATTTCAGAGGTGTTGCTTAATCCATTGCGTGCTGTGGCAGACAATGGGCGCATAATCACGTGATTTTCTGCCCAAAAAAATGGAAGCCTTCCCAAATCATCCTGGTATCATTTCTATAGGTAAATACACTAGTTAAGCATGAATTTGAGCTTAGAAAGCCCATAATGCACCCTGCACAATGGGACTGGTGATGCACTTGATCCCATCATTTGGCGGGGTCTGCTGCGGGGGGTGCTGCTGGGGGTGCCGCGGGGCCTGCTGTGGGGTCAACCACAGGAGCAGGGGTAGGGGTGCATTGCATCATATTTTGATCTATTCATTCTTGCTGTGGTCTTAGCATGCAGCATAATTATCCTTCATTTTGCCAGGAGTTTGGAGGCTGTGTCTGGGGATGGTCTGCAGCTACAGCCATGTGACTCCTTGATGCTTTGGCAGGGGCTGGGATATCAAAACTGTGCAATATTGTCTGCATGATCCAGGCATGTAGGGTTAAAAATAAAGTGTGATTTGTTCATTTTTTGGCTGGCAGGGTAGGTGGGCTGACATCATGGGCTGCATCAGGTCCACTGTCAACTCATTGATTGTTTTGTCTGCTCATTCTATATATATGCCTATTGGTAAACTGATCATGCTGTAGGCACAGTCTAATCTTACCCTGTGGATGATACCACATGTTCATTACATACCTAATGTCACACTTGCTGTCTGGGACTCATTGAAGTTCATCTGTTCTGTGTTACTTTCCAAGCAGTTTGCTTCAGTTGCAACATGAACAGATGTAATAGAGTGGATTTGACATGCCCTGAATTGATTCCTAGGTGGAATATGAGACAATGGATTCACCAGCAAGTTGTCTCACAATAGTCAGAGATTGGTAATATTTGAATTTCAAATTTCATATACAACACTCTGTGCACTCAGAGCTTGTATATTTGCAAGATAGACTGTGGAGACATAGATAGTTACTTTTACTACCTCTGGGGCTGCACACATCTTTGGCATGACCCACTGCCTGCACCCCCGCTGGCACCCCCTGTGGCACCCCTGCTGCCACCCCCTGTGGTACCCCTGCTGGCACCCCCGCTGGCACCTCCGCCAGTCTAGCACCCCCTGCCGCACCGGTGCCTGGCCCCTGTGATTTTCTTATATGTAAGATTATGTAAACTGACAGCTCGGAACACGTCAAGTCACTAGCCAATCAGAACCTGTATAAACGTCGTACCTAAGTGTTTACTGCTTTTCTAACACTGTTCCTACAGTTATGCAGCTGAAAACCATCGGAATAAGGTCTCCACATGCTATTCTTGTTGAATATGTAGGTACTTCATATCCTTTGTCCACCTAAAATTCGAAACATGAAAACAGTTCACCATTGCTCAAGGTTCCTATGTAGACAATGGTTCAACATGGTTCACTTTGGGTATAGCAAAAAATATTTTTTCTACACACAAGCAATTCAATACAGCTGAATGATACACTCTTTGGCAGTGTCTGCAACAAATTCTGAGAGCCCTGGACCCTGGAACCATTCAAAAACTTGAAATGAGTCTGACAAATAGGGTCTTGATAAACATGAGATATGGGCTGGTTTGAAGAGGCATAAGCCACCGGTCATGTTGAATGTAGTATTTTACAATGTTTCGGTGCCCTACCTCTCATCACATGGCCTCATTTCCTACTAAAAAAGGGCACATACACACTCAAGCTCTTAAAATCAATTGTCACCCAGAAACAAGAGCAGTGAAGTTGTTTCACTGGGGTTGGGTAAAGGTTACCTAGAAGTCACTTGGGTTGCAGTACAGAAGCTTTGGAAAGTGATTTTGTAGTTGATCCACATTTGGTAGGCTGGCAGATGCTTGTGCACCCCCATGGCACCTCCCGTGGCACCCCCTGCGGTTGACCCCCCCCCCCCCCCCCCAACCCCTGCAAGGATTTAATTGACAAATGTCCTGCTCAATCCATTGTAAGAGTCTACAGTATTATTGGATTCAGTAAAGGGCCCAAATGGTGTGTAGACAAGAAGTATAAAATCCGGAAATCAACAATTATGACACCTCTACAGAATATGCTGCAAATGGAGAGGAAAATTTGAGCGCAGACAGACTACCTGAAGCAAACAGACAGAGAAAAGAAACATTAGCCTCTTCTTGTTGATGATGTTGGCTGTCCCTGGAGCATGTACTTGGGAGATTTGCCTAACAAATCAAGTTGTGCATTTTTCAAATTTTTGATTTGACCTGACAGCTTGAGCAGACCATGCAAAAATGAACCAAGTCATATATATCAGTGCCCCAAGCCAAGCCAAAAGATTTAGGTAATATTGCACAGTTTTGATATCCCAGCCCCTGCCAAAGCATCAAGGAGTCACATGGCTGTAGCTGCAGACCATCCCCAGACACAGCCTCCAAACTCCTGGCAAAATGAAGGATAATTATGCTGCATGCTAAGACCACAGCAAGAATGAATAGATCAAAATATGATGCAATGCACCCCTACCCCTGCTCCTGTGGTTGACCCCACAGCAGGCCCCGCGGCACCCCCAGCAGCACCCCCCGCAGCAGACCCCGCCAAATGATGGGATCAAGTGCATCACCAGTCCCATTGTGCAGGGTGCATTATGGGCTTTCTAAGCTCAAATTCATGCTTAACTAGTGTATTTACCTATAGAAATGATACCAGGATGATTTGGGAAGGCTTCCATTTTTTTGGGCAGAAAATCACGTGATTATGCGCCCATTGTCTGCCACAGCACGCAATGGATTAAGCAACACCTCTGAAATCATGCCAAATGGTGCACAAAAGGTGCCCCAAAAGTCACGTGATAATGCGCCCACTGCCTGCCGGGGCAGTAGCACCCCCGCCAACCCCTGCCAATCCCTGCTAGCCATTTTTGATAATTTTCATGTGGTGCATCATGTGATTTTTTTACCCCCGCCATCAGCCGCCATCCCGCCCATTGGATGTGTCATGTGATTCATTTTTTCTTTGCGCCCACCTGCCCGCTCCCAATGATAAATCACATGATATGTACAGACCCCCCCCTGCACCCCCCCCGGCTGACCCCCACATATGCCCCTGCCCCAAATGGACCTAACCCCCCCCCCGCAGGGGTGCAACCGGGTGATGGCGGTGGTAACTGAGGTGTGCCCGAGATGGATTCCCCTGATGGATACCTAAAAGAATTCTGGAACCACAGAATCATTAAGGGAAGTCAAAGCTTGGATTTTGAAAGTGATCTGAAAAGTGATTCAGCGGTGATTCAAAAGATGATTCAAGTGCCATCAAATCACCAAATCACCTCGAATCACCAAATCACCTCTTGAGGTGCTTCAGGATGAATCCGGATTCTGAATCACTTTGAAAACCTAACCCTGATATCTGTACTTCTTCACGTGCTGAAAATTCATTTCCTTCTAAGACATCCTTTGACTACCGACTACTGAGACTGCCGCAAGCCATGGCAAAGAGGAAACCCCAAGGCTTGATGAACGTATCAATAACGTCCCAGGCTCGCTGCTGCCTGGGAGTAGTGTGGGGCATGGGTAAGAGTTGGCGTGGTTGCGGGCCGTGGCATAGAGGCAAGGTCAGGTGATGACATCTCACCGGAGACGTCGCAATTTGGATTCATAGGCTACTCTACATACAGACATGTACTCGTAAAAGTGGGGGGGTCAAACATGAGGTGATTTTGCAGTGATTCTAGAGTGATTCACGGTGATTCTGTGTGTCAAATCAGACTTGAATCACCACTTGAATCATCACTGAATCACTGCAAAATCACATCTGTGGGGAGATGTTTGACTTCCCCTATTGCCACACTACAACATAGTATTTCTGTAGCTTCACTTGTCACTGACAACTCAGCAGCAGCAACTAGTCAGGGCAGGAGAGGAGTGTCAGTGTGTTACACAGCAACACACATGATTCAGCAGATATAGATGTCACCTACCTTATTGTGGGTTAATTGATCTGCCTGGTTTAGTATGATGTGTACTATCTTGAGAGATGTATGCCATTTTATTGAGCTTGCCCAGCCATTGTTGGGGACAAGAGTAAGAGTTTGTGCCATGATAACACAATTAGTGATTTATTTGCTTAGTCAGTGTACAAATCCTGATCAGGTGTTACCTGTACCTATGCACAGCCAGTTGCCCTGTACCTCTTAGGTAGGTTTTTAAGCCCCCAAAACTCTACCTATTAGGGAATGACCAAGGTCCCTAGTTGCTGGGATTTTTCTGTATTTTTGGCGTTTGAACGGAATAAGTGGGCCAAAATGAACAAAAACAAATTATGAAGGAGCTGGAGCAAGAACAGTGGCCCGCCGAAACCAATGATTTTGAGGCATAACTGCGCCGGACACAAGTGGTCAATTTCGAAAAGTTCGGCACTAGTTTTATGAGGGTGATTAGTGGCCCTGAGTCATACCCACGCACTGCGATCTATGAGAAGCATAGCATGGACGGACCGGTAGAGGAATTTCAGGGCCCACCTGACCCCAAGTTCGCGACTGCCGGCGACCGGTGATGGGCACTCAACCAGGTTCGGCTCGGAGGTCCTGATAGTCAGACTGGACGCCGGAACTTCCGGTCACATTCCGACACCGAGAGCCCTCGAGAGCCTAAGCCCGCGCATCACTGGTCTCTCCGGCTCGCGTGGCCCCGTAAGCGTAGTTGGTGTCAGAGCAACGCCTCCCTATCAACCTTTCATTAAGAGACGCACCCTGTTCTGAGGCTCGGGACGGAGGCTCTTCTAGGCTGTTGTCCGAGGAGAAGGTCAGGTGCCTCTGACGCTGCAACCAGTCATGCTCTGATCCGCGACCCTGATCAACGGTGGCAGTGATCTGGTGGCTAATCCTTTGCTTTTTGACGGCTGCTTGCCACGCCGCACCGAAGGACTGGATCGGGTTCCGCCAGGGTTTCACTGTCTTCGCGCCGCGTTCGGAGGCTGTTGCTGTGGGCATCGGCTGCCGTCACCACTTTTTTGACTGTCGTTTTCCGGGGATTAGCCGATAGCCTGGCTGTGGGTCTGTGGGTTACGAGACTTATGCGAGCGGAGGACGTAGCTGAGAGCAGCACGTTGTACCGATGAATCTCCTTGCCGCATAACAGCATGGACTTCTGGGCGCTCGGGCAAGCTGGGGTCGGTATAAAGCAAGGGGCAGTTTCGAGCAGAACCAAGCAGTCTCGTCTTCTCGGTCATGTTCCCTACCATCGCTCTCCTCGCTCTCTGCATCGCTGCTGTCTCCCAGGCGCAGCAGATCGGCACTTACCAGTCGGAAGTTCACCCGTCGATCACCACATCGAAGTGCGCTGCAGACGGGACGTGCACTACGACGCAGAACGCGATCGTGCTCGACTCGAACTGGCGGTGGACGCACTCGACGTCGTCGTCGACCAACTGCTACACCGGCAACACGTGGAACTCTGCCCTTTGCCCTGACGCGACGACTTGCGCGAAGAACTGTGCCCTTGACGGCGCGAACTACCAGGGCACCTACGGAATCACCACGTCCGGCAACGCTGCGACGCTCAAGTTCCTCACTGGTAGGTCTTTCCGCGGCTCGGATACTTGCGCTTGTGAGTGTTGCTTACAATTGGGCAAGGTTCCAACGTCGGAAGCCGAGTGTACCTGATGGCGGACAACACCCACTACGAGATGTTCCAGCTGCTGAACCAGGAGTTCACGTTCACCGTCGATGTGTCCCAGCTGGGATGTGGTCTCAACGGCGCGCTTTACCTGACCGAGATGGACGCTGACGGTGGGATGGCTCGTTTCCCGAACAACAAGGCCGGTGCCCAGTACGGTACCGGCTACTGTGACGCACAGTGCCCTCAAGATCTCAAGTTCATCAACGGACTGGTGCGTCGAGTCGAAGGCGACGAGGAATTTGTTTTCTCATGAATGTTATCACAGGCCAACTCTGCCAACTGGACACCGTCGGCGAACGACCCCAACACCGGCACTGGTTCGATGGGAACGTGCTGCAACGAGATGGACATCTGGGAGGGTGAGTGATCGAATGGGTCTGTGTCGCCTTGCAATCCCACCCACTCGTTCGTTTCTAGCCAACAAGTTCGACACGGCGTTCACGCCTCACTCGTGCTCTGTCAGCGGCCAGACGATGTGCACGGGCACCGACTGCGGTGTCGGCAGCGACCGCTACAAGGCTCTCTGCGACAAGGACGGCTGCGACTACAACACCTACCGCTGGGGCGACAGCAGCTTCTTCGGACCCGGCCTCAAGGTCGACACCACGAAGCCGGTCACGGTCGTGACCCAGTTCCTGACCAACGACAACACCACCACCGGGACGCTGTCCGAGATCCGCCGGCTGTACGTCCAGGACGGGAAGGTCATCCAGAACGCGCCAGCCAAGACCCCTGGCCTCACCCAGTTCAACTCAGTCACCGATTCGTTCTGCAGCGCGCAGAAGAACATCACCGGCGACACGAACGGCTTCGCGGCTCACGGCGGTCTGTCGACGATGAGCGGCTCGCTGAAGCGCGGCATGGTTCTGGCGCTCTCGCTCTGGGACGACGACTCTGCGAGCATGCTCTGGCTCGACGGACAGCAGTACCCGACCACGAAGAGCGCGACGGCTCCCGGTGTTGCGCGTGGACCGTGCTCGGCGACTTCCGGTGACCCCAAGGTACGAGACCCGCGTCTGCTCACACTTGACCCGATAATAATCCGCTGTTATTGTTGTTCTCCAGACCGTCCAGTCCCAGCAGGGCAACGCGCAGGTCACTTACTCGGACATCCGGACCGGCCCGATCGGCTCGACGTTCAAAGCGGCCACGTCTGGAGGCAGCTCTGGCTCCGGCTCCCCTCCGGTCACCACCACCACTTCGCACGCTGCTACTACGACGTCCACCAGCTCCGGCTCGGCATCGACCGGCGGGTCGATCCCCAAGTACGGCCAGTGCGGCAACTCTGGTGCGTCGCAGTCGCTGGTATTGATGCTGCGTTCGCATGCTGATTCATTCTCCCCAGTTTCCGGCAGCTGTGTCGCTGGCTCCACCTGCGTCTACAACAACCCCTGTGCGTCTTGTGATTTCTGCGAGTTTCCGTCTACTGTTCCCTGACCCGTTTCGCAGACTACTCTCAGTGCCTGTAGATCGTGGATGAGGGTGGATCTGGTTAATACGCTACTCTAGCTCTTAATCTCACGAAGATACAATTTTAATGACTATTTCACGTTTCTCATTCCAGTCGCATTGCTTTGAGTTCGATGTCCCGAACGGTGGTTTATGTTCTGGACTTGCGCTCCGACACTCGCCTGACGACTCATCGGTCCAGAGTTCTACGGTGCGGTCGTTGGTTACCTGGTACCTGAACCCTGATGCAGTCTGAAGATTATTCGATTCCTTTGCTTTCCCCTCGTATGTATTCGATTTTTTACGGTCAATTACCATCCAAAGTCACCTACAAATACCATACTCTAGCTCTTAATCTCACGCAGACACAATTCTAATGACTATTTCACGTTTCTCATTCCAGTCGCACTGCTCTTGAGCCAGATGTCCGCCCCACTAGCTCGATGGCTCGTCGGCGCAGATTCCCCCAGTGCGGTCGTTGGCACCTGTCACTTGATGTAATGTGAAGATTTGCTTTTGCCCATCAATTTCTTTCATATTCTCTCATCTGAGTACTGTATGTAATCGTTTTCAAGTTCAGGAGGGGGTGGAGCTCACTCGAAGACTTCACATTTTCCAATTAGTGCCCATCCAGATGTTCCCACACGATATTGAAAGACCTGCCCTTTAGATCTCACATTTTCTGGATTGATCCCTGCACTTTGATGGGACATTGCCTCGGGAACCTGAGGCAAGTGTGACTATGATTGCCACCTGTGACCCTTCACTCCACTGACTGCTTTGTCTATTCCCCTGTTTGTATGAATTTCACTCACTCCTTCCCAAACTAAAACACCTAAGGAACATCCGCCACGGAGGGTACCCCCCCCCCTGTTAGGGGTCAAAATTTGACTGATTTGGATACCTTACAGGGGGGGTGTGACGGATACATCCCCTAGATGTAGCATTATCTCATCCCGCTTACTCATGATCAGTTGTGGATAGTTATTTGTGTAAGTACATCGATCGTAGTATAAATAGTTAGATGGTAGATAAAGTACAGTAGTCAATACTAAAGCTGATCCTTGTCTCTTTGGTTTGACGACCCATACCTTGTGTGCCGGAACTCATACAAGACGCTTCTGTCACATATTTTTGACAGTACTAGCTACACCAACTCTTTGCTCTGTTCTGGTCCCCGTGGCTTGATCCCCGTGTCGCAGACAATATCGCGCAGTGGAGATACAACCAGTAGCGATCACCTAAAGACACAGAGTCTCAGCGAGTGTAAGACACAGGAGCTATGCATTAGCTGTACCTAAAGACACAGAGTCTCAGCGAGTGTAAGACACAGGAGCTATGCATTAGCTGTACCTAAAGACACAGAGTCTGTAGTACAAGTCATAAGTAAGGGTCATTAGATCGTAAGGGAGAATGCATACCTCAGCGAGTGTAAGACACAGGAGCTGAGGATATGGAGCGTATAGTACTAGGTTTATATACCAGTCTGGAGCAGATATCATGATGTCATAGTGGAGTAATGATATCATAGATGAGTAATGGATGACGCAATAATGAGGTCAGGTATGAGGTCATTGTGGAGCGAGCCAAAGTAATCTAAGAATACTACTCATGATGTCATGTCTACATACTGTGATAGTCGCTAATACAAACAAGCTTCAACACTCCCACTTGACTAAACAGTCGGATCACGAAGACCCAAAGACAGCCGATGTTGTTGGAACTTCACCCATGCCAAAGACTTTGTGAGCGTGTCAGAGATCATTGCATCAGTCGGCACATGGTAAAGTTGGACATTGCCAGCTTCGACGGATTCTCGTACGAAGTGATAGCGGATGTTGATGTGCTTCGTCCTCCTATCATGAACTGGATTTACTGCCATAAAAATAGCGCCTTGGTTATCAACACAAAGAGGCGTGGATGGCAAGTCATATCCGAGCTCAGTCAACAAAGTGCGGATCCAGGCAATCTGGCGCATAGCATCGCTCAGAGCCATGTATTCGGCCTCTGTTGAGGACAAAGCGACCGTGGGTTGGCGTCTAGAAACCCAGGTCACTGCACAACCGGCAATGAAGAAGGAATATCCCGTGGTTGAATGCCTGTCGTCTTTGTTCTCTGCCCAATCAGCATCGGAATAACCGATAAGGCCTGCGCCAGTGGAACCATCATAGCAAAGTTGGTAGTTTTTGGTGCCCTGAAGGTACCGGAGTATGTATTTTGCCATGTTCCAATGATGTTCTGACGGGTTGCTGTTGAACTTTGATAGACGGATGACTGCACAGGCAATGTCGGGGCGAGTACCAAGCATGGCATATAGAAGGCTGCTAATCCGTTGCTGGTATCGGGTACGACAGTCTTCATCAACTTCTCCATCATGCTTCTCGAGCACGATGCCGGAAGGCAGGGGAGTACGAGCTTCTTTGCAAGAAGATATCCGGAAACGTTCTAGAACTCCTTTGATATAGGAAGCCTGATTGATCCAGATTTTACGCGCTTTGCGATCACGAACTATGTTCAGACCAAGGAAATCCTTCGCAGGACCAAGATCTGTCATTTTGAAGCGGTTCGCGAGCATTGATTTGATCCGCGCTATCTCCGGCAGATTGTTGCCCATAATGAGCATATCGTCAACATACAGCACCAAGATGATGACCGTATCTCCCATTTGTTGGCGATATGTGTAGACACCGGCATCGGAGTATGTCCGAGCAAAACCAAGTTTGAGGAGGGCATTGTGGATTTTGATATTCCACTGACGAGACGCCTGTTTCAACCCATAGAGTGATTTACAAAGGCGTGCCACCTTTTCCTTTGGCCATGACGAGAAACCTTTGGGTAATTCCAGAAGTTCCATATAGATTTCTTCCTCCAGATCCCCGTTTAGGAATGCCGTTTTGACATCCATGGCATGAATCTCCCAATCTTCGAGAGCAGCCAGAGCCATAAGTATGCGCAAAGATTCGTAGCGCAATACTGGCGAGAAGGTCTCATCATAGTCAAACCCATGAACCTGAGTGAATCCCCTGGCAACAAGTCGTGCTTTGAAACGACCATCACGCTTCCTGCTAAACACCCATCTGCATTTGACAGTCTTTCGACCATGTGGAAGGCTGGTCAAATCCCAAGTACAGTTTTCCTCGAGAGAGTCCAGTTCTTCGCGCATTGCGCGCTCCCACTTGAGTGCATCCGGGCTTTTTGCTACGTCCCGTACATTTTGAGGCAAGTCATGCTCAGCTTGGGCAGCTGATAACATGGACTCAATGCTGCTAGGCCTCTGATACGTAGTTCCATCTGGCATAATGCGGGGCTTATTCCGACGAGGGCGGCAATGGGCAATCGGGCGATCGTCTATTGGGCCAGGCATTAGGGGTACTTCTCGCGATCCCGTGACAGGACCTTGTTGCGCGAGGGGTGCCAGTGGCGGTGGAAGAGCAGGATGTGGTATGCTTGCATAAGGCGTTGCAGGCGCAGGATTATAGATAAGGTCAGGGAAGGTTTCCTTGAATGGTGTGAACGGCTCCGGTCCAGAGGACACATTGCTGGTGACTAGCTTGGACTTGGCAGGGAATACTCGCTCATCGAACTCAACATTTGAAGAGACTCGTATCTTGCGTTGATTCGGATCCCACACTTTCCAAGCTTTTGTCTCTCGTTCGTATCCAACGAAGATGTGGTCGGGGCGTCCATGCTCCAACCCTTTCAGGCGTTTTTCAACATCCACATAGAGAGACACCTTGCATCCAAACACACGGAAATAAGAGACGTCTGGCTTCTTTCCAAGCCACAGTTCCGCAGGTGTTCGCCATCCCAATCGTGCCATAGGTTGTCTATTATGAACGTGGACAGATGCATCCATAGCACATTGCCAGAAGCCTTTGGATAGGCCAGCATCGAGGCGCATGCATTCCGCTTTCTCGTAGGCTGTACAATTCCAACGTTCAGACCTCCCATTTTGCTGTGGTTCGCGTGGCGCGGACTTAGGGTGCATAATACCACGTGCATTGAGCCAGGCTGTGAGTTCATCGGACATATATTCGCCTCCACGATCTGACCAAAAGGCCAGTACTTTTGTGCCGAGCTGATGCTCTACTAGGGCAACAAAGTTTTTAATCGCGGTAGAGGCTTGGTCCTTTGATTTAATGAACACCATCATGCCGAAGCTCGAGAAATCGTCGTAGAACGAAATTGTGTAGCGTGAACCTTCCAACGACTGAGTAGGCCAGGGGCCCATCAAATCAGTGTGGATAAGCTCGAGGGGTTTGCTAGCACGTTTCTCTGATGCAGGGTATGGATGCTTGTGCTGTTTTCCAAGCATACATCCATTGCACATGCCGCGCTGGTCTTTATTGCGTCGCAAGGGGGGAACACCTTCAACTTGTGTCGGCAAGTGAGTAAGGGTCCTCTGAGCCGCATGACCAAAACGCTTATGCCACAATTCACGATTGGTAGTTTCCAGGGAAGCGAGCGCGGTAGACTCGTGAGATGCAGACACAGATGGTGCCACGAGCTCCTCGGGGTAGTACCAGTAGCAGCGATTGCTTGCTTTAAAGGTCATCAAGACATCCCCATGCGCTTTTCCCTTGTTGAGCCAATCCTTGGTGACTAGGATTGCCTTGTTGTCACCAACCATGGTGTAGTAACCAGCCTGATTGAGCGCATACCCAGAAAGGTAACGCCCTCTTATGTGCGGGTTGTAGATGACATCCTTCAGCGTGAAGGTGTAGTCCATGCCACTACTAGTATGACCCCGCAACACAATATCTCCAACGACTTCATTCTTGAAGCGAGCTCCCGACCCAACAATTACATAGGTGTCGATAGGTCTGATGTTGTGAAGATCGGATCAGGTGTTTGTCATATGATGCATACAACCCGAGTCCCATAGAAAGCAAACTTTGGAGTCGTCTCCCATTTCTTCAACAAAAATTCCATCATCGATGTGTTTGAGGGAGTCACCCATGTGATAGGACAAAATGTGCATTCCATTGGAGGCAGCTGCAACCGCGGGAGCGGCTACAACTTCTTTTACAGCGCTAGTACCATCACCGCTCTTCTTTTCCTTCTTCTTTTTCTTCTTCCCCTCATCCTGCTTCCCCTTGCCTTTGTCAGAAGATTGACCAGTCGGCTTGAGGTTGGGATACTTCTTATAGCAGGATGCCGCAACGTGACCGGACTTGTTGCAATGAGTGCAGCGGGTGGCAAGGGACGGAACGGTGGAAATCTTCGAGTTCAATGTTGTGTCGAGGTTCTTGATCTTGATATTCCCTATGACGCTGTTCTTGACATCGACTGGGTTCAGAGAAGCGATAGGACGATTGGCCAGGTAAGAGGTGACAAAACCTCTGCTGGAAGCGGGCAAGGCGGCAAGCATTAGAGTTGCAAAGAGGTAGTCGGGGATCTCGATTCCTCCTTCCGAACACTGGCGACGACGAGTCTCCATTTCCATGATTTGTTTTTCAATGGTGTCACCACCATGGAAGGTGGTGGTGTTCAGAAGGCGGTACTCGACAAAAGCATCAATGGCATTTGGTTGGCCATAATCCGTCGCCATCTTCGCAAAAACCTCGCGCGCAGTGCGCTCCCGCTGACCGTCCATAAAGATTCCCTTGCGCAGATTCTGGGTGATATAAACCCGCGCAAGACCCAGTGCCTTTTCATTGGCAACGTCCCATTGCTACTGGCTGTCACCAGCCGTTCCAGGACGCTCCATAGAACCAGGGTTCGAGGTAGATGTGCCGTTAACCATAATATGAGTGGGTTTAACCACTCCCCAGGTGCCCTGATGCATGCAGATGCTCATGTAGTTGTCCGACCACGTATTCCAATTGGTGCCATCAAAGACACTCAGAATGGAGTTGTTGAGTTTCTCGATTCCCAACATGGTGGGGAGATACTTGATAACGTTGGCGGTTTGGTAGTGAAGAGAGGGGAATTTGATATAGGGAGGATCACCGAATAGGGAACGAAGTTCAGGAGTTCAATTGTCCTGATGGTGAAATAGATCTTCGTTGTTGTGTTCACCAAGTTCGTATAGGTCTTCCCAATTGGTGTCTTGAAGGGTAGTGTAAGAAGGTCCCTGAGCCCAACGGACAACAGGAAATAGGATAACCCCAACGGGAGGGTCGTCTGGTGATGACAGGGTGATAGAGATGAAGACTAGAGCAACGAAGTCAGCCCCAGATTCTCTGCAGACCAAGAAACAAATCCCAAGTGCCAAATCTCTGAAATGAGAACGACCAAGCGTCCCCATCCCATCCATGATGCCCATATACGCGCGGGGAATGATAACGAAATAAAGCAGTATAGTAAGTGCCCATATTTGTATCAAAGTAACGTAACTATATACGTCAGCGGCGGCAGTACCCGACGGTGATTACTGCCCTCGCAGTCCGTCACTGGCCAAGGGACACGTGCCCAAGGCCGTCCCAAGCACCGGGTTTGGCCGCCCATCTTCTCCCTTTTAAAGACATGCATACACGCAGAGCATCATTGCATGAATCCTTGTAGTGTCACCAGCCCGCAGGGTCTCTTGTGAGGAATGCGAGTCAACCCCGAAGGATTGTTTTGCCTGGCGGAGGGATTGACCTCCAGCAGCTGTTGAGAGCTACCACACCACCTAGGCGCTTTGCGCAAGGTTCAGGAGTGGGATTGACCAAAGGACCAGTGCCTGGTGGGTATGTCCGCTGTACAATAAAAAGATGTAACGTAAAACGCGCGCGAGCAATCATGGACGGAATAGCTAACGGCGCGTCTGCCAACTGAATGACTCCCTGACGCCGCTCGCGTAACCCCTTGAGGGTGAGAGCACAAATGCGAGGACCGACATCCAGCAAGTGGGACGAGCGCACAAAGACGGCGCTCTAGAAGGGCTGAACGAGTGAAAGATACTCGCCTTAGTAAAGGGAGTAGTTCGATGTTTCTTGATTTGCCGCTAGTGGTTCAGGTGGGGCCCATAACCTGTTGCAGACAATATCGCGCAGTGGAGATACGACCAGTAGCGATCACCTAAAGACACAGAGTCTCAGCGAGTGTAAGACACAGGAGCTATACATTAGCTGTACCTAAAGACACAGAGTCTGTGGTACAAGTCATAAGTAAGGGTCATTAGATCGTAAGGGAGAATGCATACCTCAGCGAGTGTAAGACACAGGAGCTGAGGATATGGAGCGTATAGTACTAGGTTTATATACCAGTCTGGAGCAGATATCATGATGTCATAGTGGAGTAATGATATCATAGATGAGTAATGGATGACGCAATAATGAGGTCAGGTATGAGGTCATTGTGGAGCAAGCCAAAGTAATCTAAGAATACTACTTATGATGTCATGTCTACATACTGTGATAGTCGCTAATACAAACAAGCTTCAACACCCCCACGCTCACCGACTTTCCCAAAGACCAACCAAACCCTTCTCGTTGATACCATGCAACAACCCACCCACCATAACAACAATCCCGACCCTGGCCGTGTCCTCTGTTGCCGCAACTCTTGTGGCATTGTGATAACGACTGGGGAACTATCAATGTTTCCTCCTGGAATCGAGGGGCGCCCAGTTACGCTGGAGCTTACCTACGCCCACGTAGTTTCACCGGCCTCGGCCACTTTCCCTAAGCCCGTTGATGCGTCCTCGACCATTGGCAGAGACATAGCAAGTACCCCTCCCCAGGGGGAACACCCAGCCCATGAAATCACGGAGGAATCACCCCTGTCCGTTCAGGCAGGAGAAATGCCCAACCGGCTCCACTCATTATCAGAGGAGGTGGGAGACGTAGACAGTCCCTGGACTGTGGCAACAGGGAGAAATGTGCACACTCATTGCGAGTCCGTCAGTAGCCATAAATCGAGTACTGTCGGAAGAGTTAGTCCTGAATTAGACTATGCGCATGGCACTGTGGAGGAGCTCACCTCCATTGTGGACAAGGCCGCAGCATCAATGTCCCCATTGACACTTTGGCTCATTGCCAATTGCTATGCCAAGCTGGCTAGCGTATTGGAGCAGAAGATTCCTGCTCAGGGGTTGGATCCATGCAGTGATACCACTCCTGAGTCTATGAAGGAGTCAGCTGATACCGGTGAAAGATTAGCCACTATGAACGATCATCCATACCGGCTTGAAGCGGCTGAGTGGTCGGACGATTCTCCATACCCCAATCCACCGGTCGCAAGTTCTGCCCAAGAAAAGGGCAAGGGTCCTGACCCGAGCAACTGGGGGGAAATCAACATTTGTGACAGTGAACTGGAATACCAACACAACGTGTGGAAAGCATTTGAGTTGGCCCGTAAGGAGCAGGCAGATCGGAAACACCAAGAGAGCAGCTCTGTGTCCAAAACGGGCACATGACCACCAGTGAAGACTGAGGACATCTCTGCGGAGAAAAGCGGCCACGACGTGTTCTTGCACAAATTCAATCAAATGCAGGAACGTCTGGCAGAGCTGGAGGACCAAGAGCGTCAATGGGAGACGAGTCAAATCTCTGAAAATCAAACGCCAAAACCCACTGCAGTGAAAACGCCCACCACCCTTATCCAAACTGGTGGAGGGGGGTCCGGACCAATTGCCTTGGCCATCAGTAAGAGACAATCCGTTTCGACCAAGGAGACTGGAGGGTTTGTAACAAGCGTACGGCAGGGAGTTAGCCTCCAGCCGTCGGATGACAGTAGCTCCAGTTCTGAGTCCTCATTCAAGGGGCCTGAGTCAGAAATCAAAAGCAGTAGCGTGGGGTTGAGTGAGTTGTCCGGTAGTTCAGGGCCCGGTGACAGGAGCTTGGACTCGAGCTCTGACTCTGATTATTCCAGCTCTGACTTGGACCTTCCTCGTCGAAAGAGGCAGATTAAGAAAAAGAAAAAGACAAGTAAGAGACCGAAAGGGAAGATGCTTGTTAAGCCAAATCCTCCAGCCCATTACAACTGGTCGGAGAACACTGACATGTACACCCAGTTTGTCGATGAGGCAAACAGGTACTGCGAGTTGGGTAACGTACCGAAAGTACATTGCGTGCCTATTGTTGGATTGTTCTTGGATGGTGATGCCAAAAAATTTTACAACCGGCGTATCCGAGGCAACGAACACAAATGGACCTTGAAAAAGATGCTTTGGAGGCTGTTGAAGTACTGCTTCTCTCTAGACTACCAACAGAAACAACATAAGCGACTTAACCGGTGCCATCAAAACGGAAAGTCAGTTAACAAGCATGTACTTAAGTTGGAAAGTATCTTGCTTCAGATTGGATTGAAGAAGGATCAGGAGCGTGTTGCGCTGCTGTGGAACAGCTTTGACGCAGACATTCAAGAGGAATTGTTCCGATTTGGTCTTGACCCAGAGAAGTCGAGGTGGAAGCGGGTAGTCAAAGAGGCAATCCGAGCCGAGCACTTCCTCAACCTGGACAAGCGATGTAAAGGGAAAGACACAACAATGGCTGTGGCAAGCACGGGCCCAGGCAAGTCTGGGTTGAACTGGGACAAAAGAAAGAGGAGATTCTTCCCACAAAAACAGGGAGGAATCATTAAGACAGCGGCAACCGCGGTGGTACCATCTCAGGGAGCTGGACCTAGGCCCGAGAATTGTCCAGCCCCCACCGCTGGCCCCACTTCTGTGCCGGGCAAGAACCAGGTCAGCCCAACCAATCACCCTTGGGAGTGTTGTCTATCACCTCAGAAGCGGGCCAATCTCATGACCTGTGGGTTATGCCTGAACTGTGAAGAAAGCGGGCACATGGCCTGCTGATAGGCTGGCTACCAGACGTGCTCTGCACCAGCTTTGTAAGAGCGTATTTTTGCGCTTTTTACAGAGTTTACTCTCGAACGATTCAGTGTATTGTGTCGCGGTTGACAGTGTTGCGCTCAGTAGGACTTAAGGGTCTACTGCCCAGTCGACAACTGTGGATAGTGTCGACAAGAGCAAGGCAGTTAGGCCACTACTGTGGAATTGGCCTTATGAGTCTACACCAGGCTCAGGGCTATTAGTGATGAAGGCTTGGACTGCGACAATTCCCCAAAAAGTGATCTTTTGTTGTGGCGATTTCTCAGAAGGGTCATTCTCTGCAGATGGGAACTTGGGCTGAAGGGCTTAGCAATGTGCGACGTTCTCAAAATTACAACTATTAATGGACAGGACTTGGCGTTACAAGATCAAACCAATCTTGTCGCTGCAACTCCCGGTGTTGGGTTGGGCGTTTCCTCAGATCATGCCAGGGCGACGACTTATCACATATCAGGATCCACTTGATCACGGGACATTGTGGACGTGTTGCGGTAACACTTCCAAGTGTCACGGCGAGTTGCGCCCATACCCAAACACATCTAAAACGACACGGGCTAGATCCGTGAACTGAACCATGTGAGGAACGTCTGGCATGCCTAGGGCCATACAGCTTCTTGGGGCACCCACGTTGGACTCACTCGCCAAGACATACCAGTTGGCCAATCCAGCACGTTGTATTCCAAAAGTATGACGCAGTGAAATGCTGAGGGCGCACTCACAGGTGGCTCTACTATGAAAGTAAACCCAAATATAAACACGTTCACACTCCTCGTAATCAGCTTCTCAGTGTGTGAAAGATGCGAGGGCTTCGGGGTGGACAGAGCACCAGTATCACAACTCTCAATAGACGCAGATCCAATAGTCGCGGAGACGAAGTCGACGACAAGAATTTATATATAGCAAACAATGGTGTCTCAACCAATATCTTCTATACAAACACAACCAACACTAATCCAATCCACAACCAACAATATAACAAGTCAGAACTTAATACGAAGTATTAAGATCCCTTGTAGCAACAGCGTCCAGATGGCGACGCAAAGCCCAAATATCAAGTCGACGCACTGCCAACTGACACAACCAAAAGTACTGAGTCGACGCACTGCCAACTAGTAAACCAAGATGCCGCGTTGACCCACTGCCAACTAACAGCCAATATCCAAATGTCCAAAACCCGAGCACAACTTGTCGATGCACTGCCAAGCAAGAAGTGTGGAACCAAAGTTCTCAAGTCGACGCACTGCCAACTGACCAAAACAACCCGAGCACAACTAGTCGACGCACTGCCAAGCTAGAAGTGTGGAACGATCTCAAACAAAGCCCGAAGGCGACGACACTAAATGCCGCGACTAAATCAGATGCGGCGAATCCGACTTTCTGATGCCTCAAAACTCAAACTCAAATCACAGTAGCTACAAGTGCTCAGGGAGCAACTCGTCGCGACCGGGCAGGGGTAGCAGAACTTCTTAGGGTGGAATCACGCGGCACGCAAATTGTACAAAACAATCTGATATGAGAGTGATTCACAGTCCGGGGGAAAGCTTTTTAATACAAAGAGACGACGTGCTACTTATACTGTCTACGACGCTGCTTAGTAAAGTCCTGTACAACTGCATAGTAGCTACGCTATCTAAGATCGGTTGCCTTTTAGGGTAATTGAAAAGTTGAACGATCGGACAGGTCCTGAGTGATCAGGACCCCGCCCCATTGTCCATATGATACTTTTGATGTGGGCCAACTCACCGCGTCATACTTTTGGAATACGACGTGCTGGATTGGCCAACGGGTATGTCTTGGCATGTGAGACCAACGTGGGCGCCCCAAGAAGCCGTATGGCCCTAGGCACGCCAGTCGTTTCCCACATGGCTCGGTTCACGGATCTAGCCCGTGTCGTTTTAGATGTGTTTGGGTATGGGCGCAACTCGCCGTGACACTTGGAAGTGTCACCGCAACACGTCCACAATGTCCCGTGATCAAGTGGATCCTGATATGTGACAAGTCGTCGCCCTGGCATGATCTGAGGAAACGCCCAACCCAACACCGGGAGTTGCAGCGACAAGATTGGTTTGATCTTGTAACGCCAAGTCCTGTCCATTAATAGTTGTAATTTTGAGAACGTCGCACATTGCTAAGCCCTTCAGCCCAAGTTCCCATCTGCAGAGAATGACCCTTCTGAGAAATCGCCACAACAAAAGATCACTTTTTGGGGAATTGTCGCAGTCCAAGCCTTCATCACTAATAGCCCTGAGCCTGGTGTAGACTCATAAGGCCAATTCCACAGTAGTGGCCTAACTGCCTTGCTATTGTCAACACTATCCACAGTTGTCGACTGGGCAGTAGACCCTTAAGTCCTACTGAGCGCAACACTGTCATCCGCGACACGATACACCGAGTGGTTCGGGAGTAAACTCTGTAAAAAAAGCGCAAAAATATGCCCTTACAGAGCTGGTGCAGAGCGTGTCTGGTAGCCAGCCTATCATCTCCCAGGAACACTAATTTTGACCTCCTGGTCAATCCCGCGACAGTCTCACTGCGTCAGGTCTAAGTCCAACAGTCGACGTCTCGTTCATTTATTATTAAAGCCGCGGAGACATAGAGTTATGTTCCCACGTCTTATTCATTTGGTTGTTCGGTTCCTTCCGTGATCTGCCGCGATCAAACTTCTTCCGGCATGTTCACCATATAAATGCCCTCAATTTTCAGGGTTGAGAGTCTCCCTAGTACGAGACACTCTTGCTTTTTGACCACCATGTCCGCGCCCGACCAGAGCCCCCGCCCCCAAGACACCAATCGTGAGTGACGCCCAAGACAATTACCGCGACTTTTCAACCATGCTAACCATCCATCAGCCGTCACCGAATCAGCTGTCCTAGGAGCAAACCTGCCTGCCATCAACTGGCGACAGTTCATGCCGTCAGTCAAGGTCTCTCCCATGGCTTGTTGACTCAACTCACCACCTGCCTAGCCCCAAGGCCTACAACCAGATGTTGCGGCAGATGGCCATCGACGTCCGCCAGATCCAACAGGTGAGCCCCGTCCTAAGCCCGCTGGAGCAAATAGTCACGGCAATCAATGATTGCCGCGTCTGTTCGCTTCGGCCTTCCCTTCTTTTCACTAACGTAAGGGCTAGCCGGCGCCTGCGCCTTTGACCACCAACGCTCCAGTTGAGGAGTCGTCGCCGCCGAATAAACGCAAGCGAGTCGTCGAGCCCGTACGTGTACTCTGTTTTATTCGTTTTAACCATGTTCTGATCGACTTCCAGGCGGCTTCAACCGGGCAAGTCGCCGCCCCTTTGTCGTCCCGGCCTGCCAAGCAGAAGGGGAAGGGTGACGGCTCCAAGTCGCAGGCCCCTACCGCCGTCGCGGGCAGCAAGGTCGCCGTCGCCCAGAAGTCGAGCGAGAAGTCGCACGGGAAGCGACCCAAGGCGGGTCCTGCCAAGGAGCCCAAGGCGTTGTCCCATGCGCCTACTCGTACGTGGTTTTTTGTTTGATTCACCAAAGTCGCGGGTACTGATTTGTCGTAGCCGCTACCTCGGTCCCTGGTCCACAGGGATCACCTCCCAAGCACGTCTACAAGAAGACACACGCAGGTGTGTCCATCTTATGTCTTATTTCGTTGATCGTTAGACTAACCACTTTGACCCTCCCAGCTCGGATCCAGGTGTTATCCCTGCCAACCGAGTCCTCTAGTGAGGAGGAAGCCGCCGCCGTTGCTGATACCGCAATGGAGGTCGACGACGAGGTGGCTCAGGAGGGAGACGCGCCGTCGGCCGACGAACTGGCCCTTCAGGTAAGTGACCCAGTTTGTCGATCGCGATTCCTTCATCTCATGGTTGGTTTGTTTTGACAGGGGTCCAAGTCCAAGGGGAAAGCGCGATCGAATCTGAGTGCGTTTTTCCTCTTGTCCCCCTCTGTCGTTTACTCATACTTTCGTAGCCCCGTCCGTCATCATCATGGACGACACCTCCGAAAGTGGAGAGGAGACCGGCGACTTCGTCGTAGCCAAGAAGCAGGTCGTCGAGACCCGCGTCAAGCCCAAGGTAAGCCGCCTCCTTTTTCCCAGACCACGCCCCTTAATCCGGCTTTCTAGCCAATCAACAAGGTCGCGGATGGATCGTCCAAGTCGACCAAGTCCGTGCCTCACCAACCGGTGCCGAAGGTGGAGGCCAGTCGCAAGGCGAGCGCCCCACGACCAACAACTACCCCGACTCCAGTGCCTAAGGTGAGACACCAGTCTTTGTCTTCCATACGTCGACTAATCATTTTTCTTTCTTTCCTAGGTTGCCCCGGCGGCCCCTGCCGCTACCAAGACTCCACGCAGCGAGTTGGGCAGGGTGGCCGCGACCCTTGGTCGCGAGCGGAATGCTGCGGCGGCCAAGGCCAAGCTCAAGGCCCAGAAGGCAGAAAAGTCCGTTTCGGCGTCCAAGAAGAAGTCTGACTTGGTGAGTTGCGATTTCTCTTGTCATCGACTTCTTACTGACTTGACTGTTTCTAGACTCCTGCGAAGGCGTCGGCCCCCACGCCCCGAGCTCCTTTTACTCCCGACGCCTATGACACCGAGGCGCTCCTTTCGGTGGCACGCCAAGGGTTCGCGGGGAAGTTGGAGAGGGCCGGCATCGAGGTGCCAACCGACTTCGTACATCTCTTTATATCTTTTTCTATCGTGCCTTGACGACTGATTCCCTTTTCATAGGAAGTCGCTCCAAGGCCCTGCGCGATGTGTGTGACGCGGCAACGCGTCTGCTTCAAGAGCGTCGACGGGCGCCACGGCAATCGATGTGCCCCGTGTGTGCTTTATAAACAGACTTGCACCAATGGCTACAAGCCCGCGGAGCAGCTGTATATGGGCCAGCGCTTCGGGTACATTGCGCAGATGAGCGCGGATGGTACGAGTCCACTCTTTTCATTCATTTCCATTTTTGATCGTCTCTGACGACTTTTTCAGACCTCAACAAGTCCGCCAAC